GAGGCGTCGATCATTCCCATTAGTAACAATAATTCTCTGCGAATCATCGTTTTAAAGTTGGATGTCAATGTACACACATTAAAACGGATCCCAGGAAACTGAAATATGTTAATCAAAGGTGCAACCCTTGCCGTACTGATATCTTCATTTGCGGTTGTTATTTGCTTGCTCACTTTAATGTACTTCTCCGTGCCGTTAGTGGCGAAGTTCGCGAATACGGCCATAGCGATGATACCATGTGGATGACAACCGACCAGGTAATTCTGAACACATAACTCGATTGTAGTGTTAGTTGTTAGATATTATCTAATATCTTACATGTGATGGCGAGAGATCGACGGTCTTGTGTAGCCTAACCGGAAAATAGTCGGCGAACCATTTATGCACAGTCCATCTGCAAAAAATGGCTCAAGCAGAAATCTCACTTAGTAGCAAACAAACCTTTGAACCCATTCACTACTATAGCCACCTTCTTTAGGAGACTTTCTATCATAATAGTACCAAATACCATACAGTAGTAAAATATGCCATTGAAAAGTAAACAGCTGTATTAAGAATTATGTGATTTGGCAAATAAAATTGTAATAGATAATTTACTAGAATGAATGGTAAGAAGAATCCAATAATTGCTAGCGAATATACCACGACGAAGTGATACAGGACGCCAATGAGCAGTTTTCGTTGATCCCAAGGCTCAAACATGGGAGAGAAATCAATTCCAAACATTCTAAAAAGCATTAAGACTACATTCATTGATAACGGAAACAACTTCATTTAAAAAAGTCATAGTGAACGGAGCCCAGCACCAACATTTTATCTCCTTTTTAAAGTTCCTGAACGATGAGTCGTCAATGGTGTGACCTTTTGGTAAATTACACTAATAAAAAACATGAAAGAAGCATAGATCTAAAGTGATCAAAGAAAGTTAAATCAAGATTATATATCAGTTTTGCAAATCTATCTGGTGTGGAGGTTGCTAGCAAGATACTTTGATCTCGTTTATCGACCACTATTGGACCCTACGTCATGCGGTGCTAGTAGAAACATGTGCTATT